CAGATTTTTATCTGTGTGGTCTTGAGTTTGGTGATTTTCTGGCCCCTGTGCTCTGCTGTCATACAGATATAATGAGGCTCACAGTATTAAAATGCTTAGTGGAGGCGGTCCCTGTGCCGAGTCCATGTGGACAACGGCGCGGGGCAGCTCAGGGTCGTCACGGCAGAGATCCAACAGGTACCAGTACAGGAGGCCATGGACTCCATGGTGAAGAGTCTGGAGAGAGAGTTTCTGGAAGACGCAGGGCCTTGTGTTATGTGAAGACAGCCAGGTGTCCATGCAGCAGGGACACCAGTGCACCGAGCACTGCCATGCGCCTCTGGCTCAACTTCAGGCTCTGGTGACCCTCGAGTTGGAGAAGTTCCAGGACCACCTGGCCTGGTGCAACAGGCATTGCAGCGACAAAGCCAAAGATTCGATAGATGCAGGGAGTAAGGAGCTTCACGTGAAGCAGCAGCCGGACAATTGTGTGACTAAGTGTGTTGATGACCACATGCACCTCATCCCAACTGTGAGCCAGAAGATGAAGGCATTTCTCATATCCATTGGGAAATAAAAGCATTGCCAGTGGCAAAAAAAAAAGAAAATAGTGCTTAGTGGAAGAAAATCATTTACCGGCCGCTTGCTGTGTAGTATGAGCATTCTTGTAGACTTTCATCCTTTCCATACAACCTTTACAGTTACAATGTTTTATAGCTGTCTCATACTCTGGGCCTCAAGTGAACTGAGAAGTCATTGTTTTTATAAGAATTCAGGTAAAATATTAATTATAAGCAGAATTTTAGGCCTCCATTGGTACTCACTGACCCATGGGACAGGTCTGTTGCTGTTCAATCTGATCTAGGTGGAGTGTGTCCCTCCTTTGGGGAATCTGTAGCTTTGTGCTCCTCTTTGTACACGGATCAGCTGTACTGATGGACTCTCAGAGAGATCTCAGTGTGGCATCTGTGAGGTGGACCCATTTCAAGGTTTGAGAGATCATGTGCGTTGGAATTATTTAAGGTTTAATTTTTTTTGCATTTATAAATATTCTGGCACCTGTGTCTATAAAGATGACTAAGAATTGGTGAAAGATTAATAGGAAAATACAGGCTTTCCCAAGTTTGAAGTAAAAATTAAATATAGATTTTAATTAATTTAGTGATAAGGAGCATATATATGTGAATGTATGCATGGAAATCATTGGTTCTTTTTATGTCCCCAATAATGGCTAATACTGAAAACAGATAAACCAATTAACCAATCAGTGAATTATCCAAACTGGTGTTTCAGTTATTCACGGTGGTTCGTGTTTTGTTAGTATTGTAAGTCCTTAGTAAAGGAAAACTCTTCATAGTTTAATTGGTAAGTCAGCCTTGTCGTTACAGATGAGAAAATACTACAGTCAAAACAGAGGCTTTGATTAAATAAATAGACTACAATCACTTCTAAGAATAGAATTTACTGTTTTGTGTCACTTAAGTTGATTGGTTATTATAGTTCTATCTTCCTTCTCTTTGTTCACTGAGATAATAAGACAAAAGGTCCAGAAACAATTTGAGTTCTACCCCAAAGGATGTTTTCTCTGGACTATTCTGATTATGATAAGCTTGTGGGAGAAGGCTGCTTTCCTGGGGCTGCAGAGGAAAGTACTTAGGGCCATTGTGTCTGGTTGAGCAGGTTGTGAACTGTATAAAGACAATGGCTATTGGAGCAGGTGGAGGCTGAAAGCAGTTTGTGTTTACCAGTGATATTCTATCCGGTGGGACTGCATTGGCCCAGAGCAAGATGTACTGTTTTCTAGGTGACTTTTTGGCTGACTATAGCCCTGATGATGCATTTTCTTGCAGTTTTATTTGAAAACCAATCATTTCTGCTATTTTTGTTTTTTTTCCTCACAAATAATTTTTATAATATATGTATGTCTATGTGTATATGTGTCTGTTAATGTGTATGCACATTTTTTGCCATTTGGATGCCATGTACACATACAAATTCCATGTGTGCTTGAGTGTAAGATCAGATGTTCTTTGACAATATCCCTAAGAAGGACAGAGGGGCCTTCTGTGTATTTGATTCCTTATAATATACTTTATAATATGTGGTCCTCTCTCAATTACTGTTTGAATTGCAATAATGTTTGGGAAAGACATATTCCCCTGAAACAGCCTCAGACAGTGCTAGCTGTGTGTGCTAAAAAGGCTTCTGTATAGAATTAGAAAGGAAAAGAAGTGAAAGTGTTTAACACAGATTTAGTAATTGTAATACAGATGAAAGCTTACTTTTAAAAAGCAATACTTTAAGTGGATATGATCTCAGATGTTGACAGGATGAATAAATATTTCAAATATGCCAACTTTATGTAGACAGGTACTTGTGGCTTGCTTTGGTATTTCCAGTGATACTACTGTGTGTGTTAGGGAGATATGGAGATAGGAAGGTTTGCTCTGGAAAACTGTATTGGGTGACTCAAAAGGAGACTCAGATGATGAAAATGACCTTGATGTCACACATACATGTGAAGAGTGAATCAAATCGTCTCTTGAAATGTGCGCGAATAAAATCATTATTTCTAAATCAATGCGGCATACAATGTGTAATTAAAATGTGTGTGATTCAATTAGTACATCTTACAATTGTCATTGACTAATTTCTGTCTCTAGAAGTTTATACATTCAAGATGGCTTAATTATTTTTGGTATTCTATTATTGGAACAATAAGAGCTGATCTTATATTTTATATTCAGTCACATATAATTGTTATTTTCACACAGAAACTGAGGCTTCTCGAAGAGCTCGAAGATACTTGGCTTCCTTATCTGACCCCCAAAGATGATGAGTTCTACCAGCAGGTAAGATCTACTTTATTTTACCTAGAGGAAGCTCAGCTATGGTCTGGAGAGGTTAAATGAGAGGTGGAAGGGTCTGATCTGGTTGCCCAGTGACTCCTCTGTACCTGCAGAGCGTGTAGGTTTCTTCACGGTGCAGTCAGTGCACGAGCAGAGTGGACTGTTCTACTTCCTCCGACTTCCGTGCCCTTGCCTCTGTTCTCACTGGGTCTTCTGCAGGGACTGTCCTGCTCCCTACCTTGTTGCCATGTGGCTAAACTCAGTTGAACATCAGCTCCTCTGGGGAAACGTCTCCAGCTCATGCCGCCCACAGTCCAGTTGGCTGCATTTCCCTCTGTGGTACTTGTTTCTTATAAATAACTCTGCACCCCCTATTCTGGTGCTTAGCGATTTGGGGGTCCTGTGTCTTTCTCCCTACATTAGCCATCATTCTTTCCATTCTAAATGATAAAAACCAAAATTTCTGTAGCAAAAAAAGAGGGAGGGATTTATTGACTCACCTTGGAAGCCGAGGTACACGACCGCATTCAGCTTCTCACAGGATGTCATCTGAACACCCTTTCTCCTGGTTCTTGGCTTGGTCTCCTCTCTGTGACTTCATGCTGAGGGCCTGGGAAGAGTCTGACACCTCGGCTTGTGTGCTCTTCTGCATGGGAGGTCTCAGAAGAAGGTAGTGTGATCTTTCCCCTGGTTCCATCTGATTCTCCAGAGAGTGGTCTCATCGGCCTGGTTAGTAATTGTGTTCAGCATCTGCTCCTGTTTGCCTGGCCTGGTTCAGGCATCCATCCTTGGACGGGGGTCGGAGTGCAAGTTTTCCCATTCAAACTCCATGGACTGTGTGGGTCAGGGATGGATGGTTATCCCAAAAGAAAATTAGAGCGCTGTTTCCAAAGATGGAGGGCTAGGCATACTGGGAAAACAAAAAATAATACATTTTTTCGCCTATTCTTTCTTACTAAAATATACGATCTAGGGGAAGAGGACTTGGGTGGTACCATGTTTATGTCTCTAGCACCTGCTTGTACACAGCAGCCCTTCAGTGATCAAGGCAGGGAGGGAGGAAGGAAGGGTGACCCGCTGAGAATCCTGGTGTCTGGACTTCCAGTCCATCGCTCTTTCTAGAGCGATGTTCTTCCCTCTCTGTTCTTATTAGATGTTCGCTATCTCTCACCTCATCAGTCTTCTTCTGGGTCTCTCTAATTTTCCTCTTTGCCTCCCTTAGTCCTCGAGGCTGCAGTATTTTCTAACTAGGACATACCCCTGTCTTGTGGGCCCTCTGCTCCGTCCCACGGTGGCTGCTCATTGCCGGCTCCTCACTTGCAGCCCCGTCTCCCCGCTCTCCCGCACGCTGGAGTTTTGTGGCACCTCAAGCTGGCTGGCACTTTCATGTGTGGGACTTGCGGTCACACCCTCTGCTTGCCGCGCCTCCTCCTCCTTCCCTGAGTGCCTCCTCTTTCCTGTTGACCTTCTGTGTTGCCTGGTAGGCTCACCTGGCATCTCTGTAGGAGCTTCCCTGACACCCTACAGCCCAGAGAACTGCCTTCAGAATCGTCTCTGCCCCTCTTACACTTCACCTGTCTCTTTGTTAGCACTTCTCTTACTTGGTTGTAATGGTGGGTTTTATTTTCTATGCTTGTCTCCCTCATCCTCTCTACTGTGTACAGTGCTTGTCTTGTACCTAGCAGGTGCTGGGTTAGTTTACTTGAATGAATGAATGTATGTATCAGTTAATTTTGAAAGCCAGTTACAGGATTTTAATTTTGTTTTTACATACACATATACTTTCCCAGGGAGACAGGAGCATCTCGAATGATCTGAAGTCGTATACAGGAATGTTAGCTGGGCAGGTGGATTGCTTACTCAGGCCTTGGAGACCAGCCTGAGCAAGAGTGAGACCCTGCCTCTACTACAAATAGAAACACTAGCTGGGCGTTGTGGCCAGCACTTGTAGCCCTAGCTACTCAGAAGGCAGAGGCAATAGGATTGCTTGAGCCCAAGAGTTTGAGGTTGCTGTGACCTGTGATAATGCCAAGATATTCTACCCAGGGCAGAGAGTGAGACTGCCTCAAAAAAAATAAAAAATAAAAATAAATAAATAAAATAAAATAAAATGTGACCCACAGTGATAAGGCACTCTTCTTAGACCTTTCCTTGTTTTCCAAATTATCTGCAATGAATGTGTATTTTTTTGCAATCAGGGGGCAAAATTTTAAAAAGTACCCTTAAAGCAGATAAATTCCCCAAATGCAGTTAATTCTGAGATGCTTACTACTGTTTTCCCAGGTGTAAGCCTTGTGGTCCATGCACTGTTACACAGCAAGGGCTGAGGCGGTTCAGCTTTTGTGTTGTAGACGCGGTACATGGAGAATGACATACAAAAGGTTATCAGCCCCTGTGCTCTGAACCAGAGGAATAAAGGAGACCCAAATGCAAACAGAGCAATTATCAAGACTCCCTTTTATCTCTCCAAGACCCACAGCTAACCCTGATACCAATATCTAATCACTCTAAGTGCACCTTATAATAAGGCTTAGTGCTTCAATAAAGCCTTAGTGAAAGTAAACCTTTTCCCTTAAAAGGTGAAGTGAAAATGCTTTCTAATGACACAAATAAATAAAGTTCAGACCTGACATCGGGTCCCTTAAACAGGCTCTGGCCATAGGAATGCCAATCCAGCTGCCTGTCCTGAAAACAAGACTCTGGGCAGGTTCCACGTTAGAACTGTTTATTAATCCTTACAGCCTTCGTTCATTCATTCCACAAATATGTATTTAGCAACTATTCTTTTCTTCAAGCTTGAGGTGGGTATTCGTTGCTGTTTTAGAAATCAGCAGAGGAGCTGGGACGACAGGTGAGGGGAGAGAATTGTTTCAGCTCAGTCTCAGCAACACAGGAAAACTCCCTGACTTAAAAAAATAAAAAAAAAAAATCAGAAGAGGCCGAGTTACTTATGGGAATGGCAGAAGCTGACTCTGTGCCTGTCTGTGTGACTCTGGAGGCCTGTGGTCTTTCTGTCGTATTGTACACTCCCCATATACCAATTCAGAATATCTTCAGACTAGTTTTACAGTTTCCTTTGATAAGATCATGGAGCAAAGAAATAAAACGACACAAAGGTCCAAGCAGAGAGAGCCTCTCTTGGCTGACCGTGGTGCACAGGGAAATGAGGCTCACAAAGTCAGGGCGTCCTCTGGCTTTGCGTCCGGGAACGCTGCCCCCCTTGCCTGGAGAAAGGCTGCTCTCCTCGGCGTTCCTCCTATTCCCATGGGTCCCGGGCTTTCCAGATGCCAGGTTGTTCTGGCACTGTTTTAAATACACGTATGACCTCATTTAAATCTTACCAGTCAACCAAGGCAGTTGTTATTAAACCTTCATTTCATTAATTAATTCTTTGGAAGACAGTTACCCTTAGAGTACAGCGGCATCATCAGAGCTCACTGCAGCATCCAACTCCTGGGCTCAAGTGGTCTTCCTGCCACAGTCTCCTGAGTAGCTGAGACTACAGTCATGTGCCATCACACCTGGCTAAGTTTTTTATTTTTTTGTAGAGATGGGGTCTTGCTGCGTGGCTCAGGCTGCTCTTGAACTCCTGGCCTCATGTGGTCTTTCCATGCTGGCCTCTCAAACTGTTGGGATTACAGGTGTGAGCCACTGTGCCCAGCTTAAAACGCATTTTAGAGATGAGGAAACCGAGGCACTGAAGGCTTTCCAAGTTTGTTCAGGATTTATAAGCAGGAAGTGTCAGGCTCATAGTCTGAGCCCAGGCCGTCTGGCTTTGGGGGTGTACTCTGAAGAACTGCACTGCTTCCCTTTGTCCTGCCCCTCTTCCTCCTTCTGAGCTTGCTGAGCTTTTATGCCAGTGACAGCAAACGTCAGCTGTCATGTGGGTGAGATGAGGAGGCGTGAGAGGGTCGGGAGCACATGGGACTTATATTTTAATACAAGCCTCCTCCTGTGTGGTTTCTTCTCTAAAGGCATCCCCTTGCCCTGCTCTTCAAATTAGAAACCTTGCATTTCAATGGCCACCTGTCACTTCCATCTCTTTTTTTGAGACAGAGCCTCAAGCTCTGGGTAGAGTGCTGTGGCGTCACAGCTCACAGCAACCTACAGCTCCTGGGCTTAAGCGAGTCTCTTGCCTCGGCCTCCCAAGTAGCTGGGACTACAGGTGCCCACCCCAACTCTTGGCCATTTTTTGGTTGTAGTTGTCATTGTTGTTTG